AGGAGCCAGGTCCTTCCCTGGAGGGCTCAGGCAGCCCAAATGTAGGGGATGTGACTCTCAGGGAGCTGTGTTAGAAAGGTTGCAGACCAGAAAGAACATTTTTCTCCTATTTTCAGTCCTCTGCTGCATCCTGATCCTAACGAAAAGTGCATCCCCTGCTCCGTCGTCTCCTCCATCATCCCACTCGTCCCCGCGCCACATCCTCACGCAGCCCTTTGAGGTGCCCTTTGCCTCTCTACCTGCAAAACGCTGCCTCAGTGCCCCATGGGGCAACAGAAAAGCCCAAAAAGCAGCCAAATCGGGACTCCCGTGTTCAGAAGATCCGCTGATACCAGCAATGCTGCATATCCACACGGCTGCTGCGGGAGGCAGGTACCTCCGCAGCTGCACAGCACTCACTGAGACACGAAAAGTGGGGGGAAATGCAAAAAGCAGCTTTTTCTCCTCCCTAATGCAGGTGTCTGGAGGCAAACGCCATCCCCAGGGATGCTCAGCCCGAGCAGGATCATTTCCCTGCCCTGGGACATCTCCCTGCTCGCGTGCCCAGCGGAGGTGGCATCTCCAGCTCACATCCGTGGCAGGGCTAAGATGCCCTTTCTTGTCCCCCACAATGTGATGTTGCCACCAAATCTGTTTAAAGGAAGAAGCAGAGCTGGGGACCATGCCGAGGAAGACGCTTTCTTTTCGGCACATCCCATGCTAAGAAGTATTTGCTGATAAGCTGATAATCAGGTGGCCCAGCCACCCCCAATACTTTAGACCTTGCTGCTTAGAGAATATTTGATCATACAGTATCTCCATTAGGAGTTTGTAATCCGCTATCAAGGCATTTGAGAGCCATTTGAGTGTAAGGAGATTTTTATTAATGGTTCATGAGCCTAAAAGTCAAAATTGACTTGCAGAGCAGATTTTAACAGTTTGGGTGGCGTTTATATATTATCTATCCCTTCAACACCTCTCCTCCCTCATCCACTATGCCTGCCTTCCTTCCTTCCTTCCTCCCTTCCTTCCTTCCTTCCTCCCTTCCTTCCTTCCTTCCTCCCTTCCTTCCTTCCTTCCTCCCTTCCTTCCTTCCTTCCTCCCTTCCTTCCTTCCTTCCTCCCTTCCTTCCTTCCTTCCTCCCTTCCTTCCTTCCTTCCTCCCTTCCTTCCTTCCTTCCTCCCTTCCTTCCTTCCTTCCTCCCTTCCTTCCTTCCTTCCTCCCTTCCTTCCTTCCTTCCTCCCTTCCTTCCTTCCTTCTCTCCAGGATCCCGTGCCCATGCTGTCCCCATCGCCCCCAGTGCTGGCACAGCCACCCTGATGCTCCAGGCCCCAACACCTGCACCACGTACCCTGACACATGCATTTATACACCCATATACACATTGGTACATGTATGATATACACTGCTGCATGCATTTATGCTGTAATTTTTATATGTGTGTATAAACATGCATTGGTGTATGCACTTGTGCAATAGATATTTTAGACCTGCATTGTTATACACCTTGATAGGCATATGCATTTGTGCTATATCAATTCGTATATGTGCACTGGCACATATATATTCGCGCCGGGTGCCCGTGTAGCTGTGCCCGGCTCTGTGCAGCTCTGCAACGCGCGCGGTTCCACTGCCTGCATCGGGTCTGCATCCTCCCACCGCTGGGTCCGAGGGGCCCCTTCCCTTTGCACAGCCCTGGCAAAGGGACAGGGACATGGGGGGACACAGCTGGGCGCTGCATCCGCATCCTGGCCCCTGCACGGGACTTTGTTATGTTTTGGCTTGGGAAAAGGTGCAGGGGGGCAGAGGGAAGGAGGCTCCTTCCCATGTCCCCTCCCGGTCCCCAGATCTGTGCAGGGGTTAAGACCTGAACCAAAAACCAAACTCACCCCTCCCAAAGCCAAACTCACCCCTCAAGCTCCAGCCCTGGGAGCTCCAGGCAGGGGCATCGCAGGGAGACCCGAGGGCCGGACCCGCCACCCCCGTGAGCAGCCGCGGGGGTCCCTGACCGGCGCTTTTAGATTTTCAGATTTATTTTCTTTTTACCTCTCCATCTCCTCGGAAAGGCGCAGTGCTCCCGGCCGGGGAGGCGGGCACTGGAGGGGGTCCCGGGCTCCTGTGGAAAACCGGCTCATCCCGAAATACGGCCCTATCCAGGCAGGGCAAGAGCAGCTGCTGCGGGAGCCTGGGAAGGATCCCAGAGATCTGGAATGGGCAGGGGATGGAGCAGGGAATGGGCAGGGATGATGGAGCCCACAAGTGCCGGGAACCAAACCTCGCCTCCTTCTTACTGTGTTGGGGAAGAATTGGATTTTCAGTATTTAATTCTAATGGGATCTTCACCTTGCACAACCTTTGCTGTATTTTCTTTTTTTGCTGCTGGTGGTGGAGGGTGGGTCTCAAATCAAATCAGGGCACTTCCACGCAGACCTCTGGCCCTTCAATCTGGCTTTCCAGCACTAAACACTCGTGGTCCCTCCAGCTTTTCCAATGGTTTTATTGCATTCAGAATTCCCTTCCCCACACTGAGTTCAGAGAAAATGAAATTAGCTAGGAGGGAGACCTAAAACATTAAAAAAAAAAAGGAAGAAAAGGAAAAAAAAGGGGGGAATTAAAACACTTTAAAAATAATACTTGGCTTTGCCAGGCATCCTGGGATTCTGCTCTTTGCCCATGCAAGTGCCCATTTAAACTAAAATCAGGAACAAACAGGTAGAGAAAAAAAAATGTGGCAAGTGCCAAGGGCCAGGCAAGAGGAGGAGAAATCCCATCGGGGAGCTGAGCTGATTCCCTGGAAGGTGGGGAAGGAAAAGTAAAAATGGGAAAAGCAGAAAATGAGATTTTTTTAAAGAGGCTTCTTAAGAAAAAGAAGAAATCAGAAGGTCACAAAACCAGGCGCTGAGGAGCACAGCCTGCCAGACAGGACATTTTGCCCGAATAGTTTTCCTTGGGTTTCCTGCTTTAAGGAAAAACATTGGAGAAATTCGATTTTGCACTTGGCTGTTTTTTGCAGAGCTCCTGAGCCATCTCGCAGCTCCGGTCCAGGCAGCCCGGGGCTCCCTCCACGCATCCCTGAGGAAGAGCCCGGAGGGATTCACTTGGCTTCGCGCTATCCCGAGCCGTGCTGCAAAAAGCCTCCGTTTCAAAAATAAATAAATAAAATTAAATAAACCAAAGCAAAAGCCACGCAGCAACAGCGAGCAGCACAAATCCCAGCACTGGTCCCAGGCCACCGCTTCGCTCCTTCCGACGGATCGGCTTTCCCTGGCACCCATGGGAGCACGGGAATAAATCCGGTGGGGAAGGAGCGGGTTATTTTACCCTGCGCGGGGCTGCGATCCCTTGGGGCTGAACCCAGGGCTTCCTTTCCATCCTCTCTCTTTTTCCCAAATCTGCTTTTTTCCCTGAATTTTAGGTGCGGAAGTCCAAAGTGACTCGGGGTTTAAGCAGTTCCAGGATGCACATGTTCACTGAGGGTCTGCTCAGAAAGCACGTCTTTTTTTGCTTAAAAATATTAAAAAAAGGAAAGAAAACAACACCAACCCCCCCTGCTTCATGTGCTTCCTTCCCTGACCACAAAAAAACCTGCAACAAGGGGGATCCGGGATGGAAAATGTGGGGAATTTGGGATGAGCGAGGCAGCCTTCACCCCATCCCCGCTGCCGACGGAATCCCCTCCGCGCGGCTCCCTGCTCGAGTGAAACGCAAGACAGCAGCCGAGTGTGCTAGAACCATTTTAATATAATTATACATATCTGCCAAATCCAGGAAAAAAAAAAAGGTTTATGCATATATATCTTTTTTTTTCTTTTTTTTTTCTCAGTTAACACCTGCAAGCATAAACGACAATGATTTTCGCAGTTGAAATTCATCCAGGTCAGAGCAACGGACCAAAGTCCTGGTTGATTTTACTGTCCCTGCCAGCGTGGCCAACACTTAAGTTGGCCACAGAGGAGTTTAATGTCCTTGAGCGGGTATTTTTTTTTTTTTTTGCTGCCTTTTTAATTATTTGTTCTTTTCTCTTTCGTTCAGAGACAGTTTGCTGCAAAAAAGTTTCAGTGCACTTCACCTCTGGGGAAAGGTGATCGCTTTTTTTTTTTTTCCCTAATATATATTTGATTTTTTTCTTTAAAAAAAAAAAAGAGAGAGAGAGAGATGATAATAGGTAGCTCAGTTGCTCTGAATTTCACTTATAATTATAACCTATTTAAATCACAGCCGAGCTCCCGCTGGCGCGGCGCTCGTGGTTGCATACAATACAGGAGATCACAGTTTTGAAGTCTAGCACAGATTAAAAACCACAGATGTACCATTTATAATAAGACACACACTGATTGTCTCTTAAAAACTACATATTGACTCCTTATGAACATTATTTTTTTTTCTTCTTCTTCTTTAAATAAAGTAGTGCAGCTAGGACAACCAGTCGCACAACCCACGCAGCCCCGACCCGAGTTCTTTCGGCGCCAACTTGAGCAAGTGGCTCCAAACCGTGGAATGAGCTGGAGAGAAGGGAATGGGAAAGGGGGGAGAGAGAAGAAGAGCAAGACGGGGAGCGGAGACGCTCTCCATGCCGGATATTCGACCGAGGGTTGGCTAACACATGGGAAACCTCTGGGGGAAGGATATTTCCACGCACACGCACGCACACACGCACAAAAAAAAGAAATAAAAACCTAGACTTTTTTTTTTTCCTCTTAAACTGGCCCGTCGATGGAACGATCTTCCACCTCCTTCCGACAAAGAAACCCAACGCTTGCCTAAAACTATGAAGAACACAGATGGGTCTGCCTGCTGTCTGCTCGCTAGATGATCTGTCCGTTTAAGGCCTCCTTCCTCCGATTCCTCCGGGTTATTCCTTCTCCGGAGCGTCCGAGCGGGAGAGGAGTCTGAGGACGCTCCCACCAACACTGTCTCTTTTGTCGCGGCGGTTGGGTTTGATTCTCGTTGCGGCTCTTGTTGCTGCTGTGGGTTCGTTTGTCCGTTTTGCATCGTGGAATTGTGTTCGCTTGAGTTTAACCAAGACCTGACTAGAACGGGAGTGTTCGGCCCAGCGGGTTCGTTCTCGGGGCGGCGTCGCGGGGGGGTCCCAAAGGTCCCCGGCGGCCTTCACAAAACCTGGAACTTCCACGACGATGTCTGGTCCTTATAATCCAAGCAGTCAGCGTTGAAGTTTAACTTCCAGGAGGCGGTTTGGTCTTTATAATCCAAGCAATCGGTGGTCGAGTTAAAGCCCAAACTGGAGGCTCCGTAGCCCTGGGTGGAGAGGGAGGCTGGAGACTGGTTGAGGTGGCTGGTTACGGCATTGGCACCCATGGGACTCAGGGTGGCCCCCGGTCCAGGGAGCTGGTGGTGCATAGGGGTCAAATAAGATCCACAGTCCATCCCTCCGAAATAGGAGGTCGAGCCAGCGTATCCTTGGCTGTAGCCTGATGCCTGCGTGTAGGTCATGGGGTAGGACCTCTGCATGCAGGAGGAAGAGGTGGACAGGGGGTCTGAGAGCGGGGAGATGGACGCCGGGCTCCAGATGGACACGGGGGCACTGCTGCTCGAAATGGTGGGCACCGAGGTGCTCGAGGGGGGAGTGAACTGCCCGCTGGTCCCGCTCTCCGAACTTACTTCCCGGGCTGGCGAATTCTTCTTTTTGGCCGGCCTCACTTTGTTCTGGCCCCCGTTCTGCTGCTGCTGCTGCTGCTGGCGGCACTTGGCCCGGCGGTTTTTAAACCACACCTGGGGTCACCCCGGGAAGGAGGCAGAGAGAGAAAAGGGATGTGTTAGGGACATGGGAACGAGCCTGAGCAGGGCCACTTGGGGACGGGGACACGTGTTGGGCAGCGGGGACTCTCCCCTATGCACCCCCGTTTGCAGAAGGAGCTTTGCAAGGAGGGTCCCCCTAACTGAGGGCATCGGCAGCAGTGGCAAGTGGCAACGGGCAAATTAAATTGCTTCATAAGGTCACTTTTGGCAGGAAAAAAAGTGGGGAGAATGGCTCCCTAGTTGCTGTTTGCCAGACAGGGACCCCCAGGAATCACCATTTAAGTCAAACCTTCAGTTAGAAACAATCGAGGGTCGTAAGGAAGGAAACAACTGGGGGAGAGGCAGAATTTGGGGTCTAGTGAGTGGGAAAAGCTGAAGTGGGGGATCTGGGTCCCCACTTTCCAGATGCAGCTTGGACATGACCACATGTGTGGAGGGGTGACCGGGGCCTTGGAAACCTCATGATGAGAGAGGGAAGAGCTTTTGGAGCTGCCCCGGCTGCAGGTGCTCAATGGAAAGTGTCCCCTGGATATGTGACAGGAGGGGACACAAACCCCTAGGAGCCCAGGGAAACGATCCCTGGATGCGGATGCTCCAGGAAGAGATTTCAGGCCTGGCCCCAGCAGAGGCTCCCCGTCCTGCATGACTCCAAGGTCCCCATAAAGGGAGAGGAAGCCCCAGTCTGCACTGGTGTGAAATGGAGTCCCCAGGATGCGGGGGCTCCCAGTGGGATCCCTAGGGAAACAGGAGCCTTTGCTGCTGCTTTGGTGTCCCCAGGCTCCTGCAGGACAGGCTGGGGAGGGCTGGGATTTGATCCCTGGGCCACAGCCCGGGGGGTGCTGGGGACACGCAGTGGGGGCAGACGGAGGGGGCTCAGGATCTGGGATCTGGGCACATCCTGGGCACTTGCGCACTGTGAGGAAGAGGAGGGCAGATACCCGAGGCCTGGTGTCCCCACAGGGGTAACATCCCCCCCATCCCTCCCAAATGGCACCACCGCCTCCCTGCCCGGCCGGTGAGGCCTCGGCGTCGGGGCTGGCGGGTCCGCGCTGCGCGCGGGTGAAGGTCGTGCGCTCCCGGCGCTGCTTCCGCGGCGTGGCTGCCGAGAGGGGACAGCGAGCCGTGTCACCGCGGCCCCTGCGCCCGCCGCCGCCTGCCCTCCCTCCCGGGCACGGGGCTCCCAGGGGAAGCTGCTCCCCGCCTGGGGACCACGCACCCCCTTAAGGGACGATGCGCTGCATCCCGCTCTCCGTCCCTCATCCAGGGATGCTTCTCTGCGGTCACCCAGCACGGAGCCGGTTTTCCAACCCCCTTCCCGGAGAAAAAGTTTGGGAGAGATGGAAGAGCGACCCTGGTCCCCAGTAGCCGCAAGGCTGCAGTCTCTGCTGCAGAGACCTGATGGCTTCTCCTCCTCGGGACACTGCCAGGAGGAGGAACTGGGCAGTGGGAGAAGGGAAAGCGATGGGGAAGAGGGAAAAAAAAATACTAAATAAAGCAGCGCAGCTTACCGGGATAACCGACGGAGGGATGCAACAAATCCATGCCCGAGGTGGTGAGACTCAGGCCATTCACTGCGTAAGGTGGTTGCTTGAGATAAGACATCATGCTAAAGTTGTGGCGGGGAGGAGAGAGCAAGG